CCAATAAAGCCCGATTCCAAAGTTCCAACGCCGCTGATACACTTCACGTGCGGCAATGCAGCCAGCACCTTTTCAACTTTCAATAATTACTCTTTCAATGCTATAGCTTCTATTTAACAGTTAGTTTATAATGCAAGTCATTTGAAAACCATTCGAAAAAGTTCGATTGTGTTCGAAACAGTTGCGGCGTTTTGTTAATATCCTTAAGGTAGGCAATGCATCCGACTGCTACTTTATCTCTCTGCCGTTGCACTGTTCAAAATTATAATGTTTTCAGCAAATTTACACTGTAAGTATCTGGGTTGCACTACTTCGATACAAAACTAATCGATTCTGAGAAAGTTTTCTTTCTTTTAGAAATATGTAAATAAATATCAAAAAACCGTAAATTTTTCGAAACTAACACGAGGGCTACGACTATGACTACGACAACGGAATGAATGTAGTCGCACGACGNTTTTTGAAATATGTAAATAAATATCAAAAAACCGTAAATTTTTCGAAACTAACACGAGGGCTACGACTATGACTACGACAACGGAATGAATGTAGTCGCACGACGTTGTTGCCGTGGAGCGGCGTTACATCCAGTCGCTGCGAGCTGTGTGAAAATCTGCTGTCTCGATGATCGGTCGTCGAGCACTCTCCCCACATGGAGACCGACAAGCGTTCGAAGTGGTACTAAACACGCGGCAATCGACAGATTTTCATGCTGCTCCAAAATTCAACACTACAGAAGTCACTTTGCTTTGGTAGTGGTGCGCTCAAGCGGCAGGCGGCCGAATGCTCTCACCAATGCAGCCCCAATACTCGTTGTTGGCGCGCGAATATGGGGCCGCACTAAGCACTAACCGAGTCGATCGGGTATCGGGTATGCATGTATGCGTGCGGGCATGGTTTGCATTAGTATTGGTGCTCGAAGTTGTTGTTTGTTTGTAAAGAAAAAAAACTGGGATTTTAGATCGGACGTGCTCGCCTCATTTGATTGCCTTGGAGCACGGAAATCATGTAATGGATTTTGTAAACTTAGCACCCAAGACGAGCCTGAAACGAGCTACAAAAGCTGCCTTCTTGCAGTTGGTTTCATTTCACTGAATGGCACTATTACAAAACTTAGCAATAACGTTGCTTTCGAGATTATTTGAAGGTTTTCAAATTTACTGATAAGGCGGATGTTGCTGCTTGTTTCCGTTCTTAACCAAACGCCGCGAAATTGTGTCGCATGACAAATCATTTATTTACTCCTACTGCTTTAAATGGATGATGAAAAAAATACAAAAAAAAAAAACATCGCTGATATTAAAATTTAGTCCATCAACACTTTGAAGGAAACTCGCTTAAAAGGTTGTCGAAATAGTGTTTGTTACAAGATTCAAATCCAGAAGCCTTGATACATACATATATATGTAAATGTAGGTACATACATACATACATGTACTCGTACTGGAGAAATACTAAGCAACGTATGTAAGCCACCATTGAAAATTAAGAAAGTTTTGCGATTAGACGCTCCAAATGGCCCCAGTCAGTAGGGCAAAAGGTTGACTTAATTTTCGACTGTATTCGAGTGGCAGCCATGGGCAGTGTACAGAGCTCTGGCGATAAGAAAAGTTTGCAAAAGCATTAAACGAATTTAATTTTGGCTCAAGAATTGAGGTTAGAGATTAAAAAACATTGTGGCTTTCAACGGACCGAGTTTGCGTTTCAACAAAAATGATTTTAAAATTAATACCTACACTTGTGAAAACGCAATTTCTTGTTATCAATGAAAAAAAAAATTAAAAATGTGTATTTAAGTATATACATACATAAGTAGCTTAAATACATATAATGCTTCCGGCTAGCACCATTCCCAACTTTTAGTAAATTTAATTAATGAGATTACATGATTTCGAAGGTTAAAAGCAGAGCTGCAAACTAGTTTTGAACCGAACCGGCTTTTGAACTGAACCACCACTCCACTCCATGAATCCAACCGATTTTTTTTTTTTTTAAATACCTCAGCCGAACCGAAAACAAAAAATTATTCGGTTCGGTTCGGTTCAAAAACTTTTTAAGTTTTGTAATACACAACTTTGTCTAAAAATGCAACCCTTATGGTAAAACTGCTAAAGTTTTTTTTTTGCTTGATGGCAACTTTGTGAGTTTAATTTTCTTGAAAAAAAGAAGTATACTCGAAATGTTTTAAGACTCTTAATTTTTTTAGTTTAATTATACTAAAACCAGTAAGGATAGTGCTATCTTCAGCTATGCCGAAGGCTTCATACCTTTCATGAGCATCAGAAAATTTTACTTCAACTCTCTCAAAATCTCACAAAATTGACCCGATCCCTGTCATTTTCACAGTAATATTTTTGTTGATAATGAGTGAAAATAGTTCGAAATCTCATGTTCCTTATATGGCTGCACAAATGGAGAAGTTATAGGCAAAAAAATGATCATATCTGAACAATCAGTTGTATGGGAGATATATGTTATAGTGGTCCGATTTTGCTCAAAACCGAGGGACAAGATTGCGTTCTAACAGACAGACAGACGGACGTTGCTAATTCGATTATGTGGGTATGTATATTTTTATGGGTCTATCCTTCTTCTTCTAGTACTTCCAAACATTCGACCAAAATTATAATACAGTTTCATTTTAAATTAAATTAAAATTTTTTTGATTCACAAGGATGAGTAAGTAAATTTTTAAAGCCGATAAAGTTTATATAGGTTCTTGACGTATAATTTTTTCAAAAATAAATATTGCGAAATTTCAAGGATAAAATTTTAAAAGGACATTTTCAATACTTAACAGTCCTACAACAAAAACTTGAATCTTGATTTCCTCCTTAATTTGATGCCCATGCTTCTTCTTTAAGCACATTTCTCTGAATTTTTTAAATCACTGAATTACTGACGTCAGAGGGACAAACTAAAAACGCAATTTTACTATATTTGGCCCATGGTTTCGCGAATATATACATTTTTCTGTGTTTGCAATGGCGCGGTGTTATATGTATAATGAGCTAGCCATTTATAAAAAAATATTAATTATTAAATAAAAAAAGAAATATAGCCAATACTGATCAAGAAAAGTAGTTTCTATTATTGCCATCAGTGCAAATTACAAATCCCGAAAATCCAGGGACTATTTGCCAAGAATCCCGGGATTTTTGAGACCTTAAAAACACCTGGCACCTGGCAACACTGGCTATACAGAAATAGAAATGACTAAAGTTTTTATTGAGTCTATATTTAATTTAAGATAGTTCGAGGTTAGCACAAGGTAAAAATTAAGTAACCGTAACCGATTTAGCCAATTGGACAGCATCACTGCCCATACAAAAAAATAGGTACGTGTTTCCATTGGAATTATAAAATCTATTATATTTTAAGATTTGCAACCAAATATTTCGCGTGCTGGACCGATTTGAAAATACCTCCAAAATAGAGTTTTTTTTTATAAATAAAAATAGTTTCTTAAAGAATTTTTTGAAAAAAATTCCATCAGAAGACAAAGCAGTTTCAGCTTAAAAAATCTGCATAAAAATATTTTAAAAAATTCTTCCACGGAATCGTAATATGAGATTTATTTATTTTTTTTAACTTTTTTTAAAGATTAGTATGTATGTATATAAAAACTTGAATGACTGGATCAAAACTGAATCAGATTTAGACTTTGAGATAGCATTGGAAAGGTATTTTGTCACCCTTTTCATTCTATTGCAAATAAACTCATTCGAAGTATAAAAGAGAGAAGTAGGGTGAACGAGCGCATTCCAAGTGGAATTAAGATGTACAAAATTCCAAAAAAATTAGTGGTGATTTCTTGTAAAGAAGTTATCCTTTTACCGTATTAATTAACTTGAAACTAAAACCTGGATCTATATAGTGTTTTTTTTAATATTCTACAGACTTTGTAGTTAAATGTTGTATTGGGGGATTTTTAAATCTAATAACTCTTAAATAAATTAATTTTTGGAGGTTTTTTCAAATCGGTCCAGTTCACGTAAATCTTAATCTTTTTCCGAAATATTTCGGTGGAGCCTTAAATATAATAAAACCGCAACTTTTTTTGGTGATGCAGTCTAATTACATATGTATGTATGTATGCCTCCGTATCTAAATTCCTTCTATTTTTTTTTTGAAGGCTTTTGCGCCAATATTTTGTTGGTTGACAAGAATTGGTGTACTTTGATTTACCTTGACTTATTAGAAACATACACATGTGCACATGTAAATACATACATACATACATATGTTGCCGTCGACATTAGTACAAGCAAATCTACAATGCGACAGCCTAGTACGAGTGTTGTACATACATGCAGGCCGCCCATCCATAGACCGACCACACCAATACGGCGAAAAGTGATAATGGTTACTTAGGGATACGGACTGTAGGGTAAATCCGTTCGATTAAATCGTGTAACCAATTCTACAAGTGTGTCCATGAGTATGGTACTCACTCGTATGGATGATGTGATTGTTTAGCGCGAGCTTTATCACCAAAAGCCTGCGCAGCGTCACACATACACATACGCACTTACATAGTAAATATATATGTAAGTACATTCGTGCATAACGGATATGTCCGCGCCAGTCGGTAACATAATGAATGGGTGGCTGGCTGTCGCAAGATCAGCGCAACAGTATGCTTCGGAAGAGGTCCGAACGGGTCCGAATGAATGGGCAGCAGAATACTCGCGCTTTTCAGATATGTATTCACATAATGGAAACATACATACATACATACATACATATATGAATATTGGTATATGGTATTTGAAAGCTGATCATGAACGAAGCTTATCATTTAGTCGTTGGCGCAACCGACGCTGTTCTCCATCTCCTCCAGCAATCCGTGTGAGCTACATATGTCTCTCCCACACATATCTGGGAGCTTACACGTATGCTGTACGTATAGTCGTCATCTGGTGCAAATGAGTGTGTGAGACGACTTGGTTGCCGTTGGGCCGTTGGTGGACGTTTGCCGCTGGCTGGAAGTTATACTATAATTAGTCGAGTGGTGCCTTCTAAAGTAAGTGGCTGTTTCTAGTTCTGTGTGCGCCACAGCCACTTTTTCTTCATCGTAGTCAGTCGTTCATATATATATATTTTTTTTGTGTCTTTGGGGCTATTTCGTGGTGTTGGTGTTTGCTGCGTTTGCGGGAATTATGCTCGTCTAGCTGCGTCGGCGAGTCGAACATTCAGTCCGCTCCAGTCGATCCATAGTGTTAGATCGCTTTAGGAAGCCCGTCGTACCCGCACAACGCGTCAGGGTTGATGGGGTTTGGCAAAGGCAAAAAAGTCGCCTTTTGTTAATTTCGAATATAGTTTGCGTTCGTTATGTAGTTTAAAGAACAAAAAGAAAAAAGAGAAAATTAGTTAAATGAATGAAAATTAAAACAACGAAAAATACCAGAACTTTTTAATGTTTAGTTTTTTAAGTTAAACATATGTTTTGAAAATTTATCGAACTCTAGAGTGGCAACGAATAAAAAGTAAAGGAATTATAATATAATTTATATATATAGATAAGTTATAAAATTTCCTTACAATAAGTGGAAAAATTAAAAGTGCAGAAAAGTGTAAAATATTTATGAGATCGGCATGCCTATTATGGGTGTCTGTGTAATAAATAGTTTAGCATTTATTCTAGTTTGAAACTTTTGAAAAATTTTCCAATTTCTTCAAATTTGTAAGAACGTTTGTATTTGATCTTTTTTAAGGCAGTTGACTGTAAAATTGAAAAAGAGTTGGGAAAAGTGAAAGGAGCGTGTATATAGAGCGTGGGCATGATGGAGCCCCACTGGAAGCGGTGAGTAAATTTTTTTTTTTACCTTCATATATTTGTTGATTTTCCAAGTAACCGATATGTGCAAAAAAAAATATATATGTATTGAAAAAGAGCTGAATTAAGTATGTTTCAAGAGTAATGTATAAATTTCAAAACTTTGAAAATTGTATGTATCTATGTGAATTATGTAGAACTTAAAAGCTAAGTAAAGGGGACTGTCCCTAACCCAAGGCTAAAGAATCATTCAAATCAGTTCACAAACAAAGAAGTTATGCGCGAACAAACCCAAAAGTAACCAATATATATACATACATACATGTCGAACAGAAACCTCCTTCTAGTTTTTGAAGTCGGTTAAAAAAATTAACAGTTTTGTATTCACAAAGGATAAATTGTGATAAAAATTTGTGCTTTAGTCAAATTTATTAAATTAAATTTAAAATTATAAATAAGAACATTTCCAGCACAAATGCATATTTTTGTAAAATTTATTTCGTTGAGACTAAAATTGTGTAAATAAGTGCCCATAACAAGTAAAGAAGTCTTAAAATTGGCTTCAAATCGGTTACTGCTGAGGTACACAAATTTTTTTGATTAGTAGACCTACACCCATTTTACAAATTTTTTTTTAAATAAGTTTTTTCTTATATTAACACTAGGGATGTCGGAAAAACATCAATGCATCGAAAAAATCGATGTTTTGCTTCGATGCATCGAACATTCTCCAGTCAATGTATAAATAGTCGATGTATCGATACATTGATGTTTTTTTTTTAAACTGACATCTCTACTACATTGAACTGCCATTTAAGTTTTTATATTCTGCAAAAAATGGAAGTGAGTTAACAAAAAAATTTAAGGAGCTCTGAAAAGTTCCGTTAGAAACATAACTAGCTCAATGACAGTACTTAATTTGAGATTTTGTACACTTTTGCTTGTAACATATTTTGCTGTGAAATAATATCTAAAAAAATTCTATGCAAATCGATGCATCGATATATGGAAATACATCAATGTATTTTTGCCATTGAAATCCCTAATTAACACTCCTTTTGTCAATTTAGGCTATTTAGCTCCAGCAATTACTAAAGTTTCTCAAAAATATTGTCATATGGTAAGTAGGCGTGGTCTCCGTCCGATTTCGTTTCGCCCTACCTTGGAGAAAGAACAATCCCAGAAACCACAGTTTGTTGAGATATCTGAACTCGAATTATCGTTGATGAAGTCGAGACTGCCTAGGCTTTGATGACTCGAAATCATAAAATTACGAGATCTATTGGCATTAGCTCTAAACGTAGATATATACATACATACTCGTATATACTTGCATACAATGTTGCGATTTTGTTGGTGAAGAATTCTCCGTCAATTTGAAATTTCTTACAAAGTTTTCTCTTAAATATACATATTTGTCTCTTCTAAATCTTTCTCTTTCACTGAACGAAGAAAACTGCGCAGACTAGATGCAGAAAAAATGCTATTACTAACACAATTACAGAAACAAAGCATTTCCAATAGAAAAATTTGCAAATAAATACAACTGTCCACTTATGAATGTAGAGTAGTAAAAGTTGCTTAAACATGCATATGTATGTATATACATACATACGAACAAACATAATAATAGAGGAATTGGTATGTTAGCTTTATAAGGCTGACTAAATTTACAATTTTGAAAATACACCCAAAAACTAAAAAAAAAAAAACTTAAATCTTTATTCATAACACTGTATAGCACTTTGCTGGGTATTGTACCTAACCAATTTATTTTTTTGAAGAGATTGAGTCATAAATAAAAAAGTATTTTCTCTGTTTTTCGAAGTTAGCCTCAGAAATCGATATTTGGAGCTTCGAAGTTCGAAATTGGACCTTTGGTAAAAAAATATTTTTAATTATTGTATGTAAACAACTAAAAAAACTTATTTAAACGGCATATAAATTTTTTTTGTGCAGGCTTATAATACAGGTGGAAAAAGGGGTCAAAAATGAGTTCACATTTTTTTAAATATAACTTTTTTTAATTTTTTGAAGATCTGACCTTTGACCCTTTATAGCATCTGTAATATAAGTTTGCACAAAAAGAGTTATATACCGTTTAAATAAGAGCAAAAGGCGGGCCGCGACTATATTTTTACTTTTTTTAGTTCTTTACATACAATAAATAAAAATAATTTTTTACCAAAGATCCAATTTCGAACTTCGAAGGCCCATATCTCGATTTCAGAGGCTAACTTCGAAATACGGAGATACTACTTTTTTACTATTAGTCAATCTCTTCAAAAAAAAATTAGTTTGATACCAGACCCAGAAAAGAAGTGATTTTGCCGTATAGTGACGCAATAGCGTCATAATCCAAAAAAAATAAAAACTCGAGAAAAACGGCTTTAAAGTTTTGATACATACATACATACATAAGTAGTACACCGAGTAATCGACGATATTGGTAAGGTATGAGATTTTTGCACAACATAGAATAAGAGGTACTGCATACTTAACTATTGTTAGGGTTGCCAGATTTTTTTATGCGCGAAATCAGTACGTTAGACATTTTCATGCTAAAAAATCAGTACTTTTCAGTACATTTTTATTCAAAGCAAAATTATGAATGTAAGTAACAGATAAATTAACAGATAATACTTTAAAACGCCAGAGAGCTTGTTTTTAACAATATTTTAGTATACAAAATAAAATATAGTTCATAAAAAATAAAAGTGTTATTCATTTTAACATGAGTGTACACATACATACAGAAAACAATAAATTATTTTATATTTATGACGTTTTTTAATGTCTAATTGAATGTTTAAATAGTCAAAGAATTCTATACATTTCATTTTAAAATTACTATTAATTTGAAGTTCACTTAAAAAAATTTTAATTAGAAGCCGATTTCTCTCTTTGCGTCAGTAAGCAAACTATATACTTAAGATCCTCTCAGTTGTTAAAAAAAAAAACTAAATTATATATTTTTTCAAACTGTGGAAAAGTACCACTATTTAAGAACTTCATCTATATTTCCTCATGGCTTAAATTAATTTTTTCAACTAGGTACGTAAAAACTTTGAAAGACTAAGAATTCGCTAAAAAGTGTATCCAAAACTATGTCTCGTATGCAAAACTATTTTACAATTTGTTGTTATTAAACTGAAAGTTATTTTCGAGATAACTAACAACACATGCCAAAAAAACATCAGCCTTCTTTTTAAATAATTTAGGCTCCATCATACTATCGCAACTGGTACGTAACGATCCGGTGATATTCCCGTAAAACGATTGATCTTTTTGTTGTATTAATTTCTTGGGAATTCTGAAACATGTCAACTATAATTAAATTATTTTCTTCTTACTTGTTACAGTACAGCTTAAGGAAGTTCCGAAGTTACTATGTAAAAACCTTAAGAAAATCCTAAAGTACTTTGTTTGAATTAAAAATTCAGTACAAATCAGTACAAATTCTGACAAATCAAATCAGGACATTAGCGTACTGATTGAAGAAATGAATAAAATCAGTACAAGAATTGAAAAATCAGTACCTGTACTGATAAAATCAGTACGTCTGGCAACCGTAACTATTTTCATTTTTCGAGTATGCTGAATCCAGTGGTGTTGATCGGTTTTCTGGTTACCGAGATATATTAGAGGTTCCAATGTAGAGCCTTGAAGAGTACCAGAAGATAGTGTTTTACTAATTTTTTGAATATGAATCGAAGTATGTATGTATGTATGTAGGGATTCGGCCAACAACGGCTTTGTGGTAAAGCTTCATGTGTAAATAAGTTTTTTCCTGGTTACAGGGCTCTTACACAATATGTATTTGCATACGTAAATGCCACTTTTTTATATTTATGTACTCGTATGTACCAAATATTAAAACATATCACAAAAGTAGTATTTACATATGCAAATACATATCGTGTAACAGGGCTCTTAGGAAAACATCTTTTATTTTCCAATTTTTCAGATTTTCAAAGAACAGATTTTTGCAGATGCTCTAATTCTCTAAGAGCATTTATGCATCAAAATTAAATTTTGAATACAATTTCGCCTACGTTATTTCCGCGGCTAGGGCTCGATATGCCTGCGGCTTGCAGGAAACATGAGACCGTCAAATTTTTATTTCATTCTATGGGGTAAATAGTTCACATATATATACGTACACTTCTTCAATCACAAAAATCTTAGTCTTAGGCTGTCTTTCTTTGATTTCGAATGGAAAACACGTTGCGATCATATCGTACTAGCATTTCGACAACACCCTAACCAAGAAAACTTTTCAAAAACGCCCTACGTTCTTGTGCTAAAGCGAGTATTGCTGCTTATTTTTATATTCGAAGTGTCAGCTATTGATTCTAATCATGATACAAAAAAGAAGGTAGTTTCAATAAACAACTTTTTGATTAAAAAGGAGATTTTTGACAATTGCTCAAATGTAAAAAATTCGAAGCGGCGTTACCCAATGTAAGTTTTTTGGTGGAGGGATTTATATCCTAAATTTGATAGTATAAATAAAATAGTTGTATTAACATTTACCTTCTAAAAATAATAAATATCTTATCTTAAAAACGTTCAAATTTTACATTAAATTCGATAACTACTTGCCGAAATCTTTACTTTTACATTAATAAAATTGTAGTGAACATATTTTAACATTTTTTTAGTGCCATTATGTCATCTGATTATTACACAATACAGCTAGCCAGGACTATTACAATTTTCTATATTGGATACGATTGTTTCTGATATAATTGAGACACTGAAATTACACATTTCGATATTGTCTTTGTCTATGTCTTTCAAGTAACTTGAAAACGGAATTTATCGTTGTTTCTTTGGGTAAAAATAAATATATTTTACTGTTCAATACTGGAGGGGGTGTGAAACAAAATTGATGATTTATTGTTAGTATAAAAGCTGGAAACACAATTATTAACTTATTGAGCATTAGACCTCTTCCCTTTCAAAAACCAAAGGGAAAATGTTCGGTTATTTGTGCAATGGTTTTGGAGTGGGAGCGGAGACGGAGGGGGGGCCATTGAAAAATGGGGTAAAATTATCATTTTGACAGAGAGAATGTAAACTCAAGTTACGTCAACCACAGGATTTTTGCGCAAAATACCTTTCCACGTTGTGGGCTTTCGGCAGCGCTTGAAAAAAATAATCCTCATCAGTCCCAACTTCGGCTACGCTGACCACAGTATTTTTTACAAAAAGGTCCATATTTCAAACCGAATTTATTCATAAATCTGTATCTGAAAATTTGAAATCTTTTTTTTAAACTAACGTTTAATTGTTTCACCACACGTGTGTGTTAACATTTTTCGCTTTGGATTAAGCGTTTGGACACAATAACCCAAAATTATTGTACAAATAACCTAGCCGTACCCAACAAGATACCTTTTGCTTTTTCTAATTTCGATTCTAAGAACAAAATGTTTGTAAATAAACCAAAAATTAATAAGAAAAATTGGAGGATTTTAGATATTGGATACGGTAGCATGAAATGTCACAATCTACTTAATTGTCAGGTTGTTAATATGGCGACGAAAAAGTGACAATGGAACTACCTTCTTTTTTCTTCTTCTTTTTTTTTTGATTCTAATAGTATTATAAATTTTTATTATTTTTATAATTTTATAGTCATGATATCATGATGTCAGATAGTGAAAATCCATAGACGAGTCGAATATATTCTGAATTTAATACTTTTCGGAAGAAGGAGAAAGGTTATCAATTCGTCGGACCACGTTAACCGATTTCTATAATGTTTTTTTTTTTTTAAGGGAAGGTGCTACCTCACAGGTGGTCCCATATTCATTTGGTTTAAGTCATCGATCATCGGATCATGAAGAAATTAAGGATAACGTTAAATTTTTATATGAAAATTGAAGTCGGTTCTGTTTTTGCTTAAAAGTTACTTGTTTATAAAGGCAATTAGCTTGATAGATTGTAGTTGAAATACTTAAGTTACTGCTGCACGATTGTAATATGTTGAACTTTGAAGGTAAGATGAAAGATATATTTTTGTACAAGAATTCAATGTAAACGAAACGCCAACATTTAATAAAAATTTTTAAACAGGTGAAACCCTATTCAAAACCTCTAAAAATATTCCTAATGATTAATCTAAACCAGTGGTCGGCATTCTAACACATTCAAACGATTCAATAAGTGAGACTGTGTGCGTTAAATGCACTGCTCAGCTTCCGCTCTTCGTATACGTGTGAAACGCACATGTGCTCAGAGAGCACTCAGTGAGCTATGGCCTGCCGACCACTGATCTAAACCATTTCTCAGTGATGAGAGCTCTCGCATGGTGTCGGTTTTCATTTCATCAAATTCCAAATCTCCCTGTAACTTCAAAAAATAAAACCTGTGCACATCTACATATTTAGAATCCCAGTTCTTTAGTTTGACTTCTCATGTTGGAAATTCGAAATAACGGTGCAGATGTGATGACCTTCAAAAAACAAAAATACATGGCAACTCTAACTGAAAATATTATCAGCCTATAGTTTTCTTAAAACTCTTTCGTTTGACACTAATATTTCGATATTTCATGTATGTATCTTTCGTATAAGTAAAACAAATTCGACTTTTTAAAAGTATTTTCAAACTAAAATCTTTCGCCTGGCATTGTTATACATATTTCAATTAACTGATGAATTAAGTTGAATTTAATTTTTTCAAGCACAAGGCAACTCTCCTAAATACAGTTTAGAAATAAATTATTTTCAAACCCATTTCGATTGATATCCATCTTTTGACAATCCATTTAACTTATTAAATAATTTGAGCTTAATTTTTTCAACAAAAAAAAACAAACGTTCAATTGAAAGATTTCTTGAGGCTCGTTCTTTTGATAACCATATTTTAAAATTTCATGTAACTTATGTATAATTCAACGAAATACCACTTTCAAAACAGGCGGCAACCCTCTTAAAAATTATTTTCGAACTAAAATTTCCTTAAATATTTTTCGTCTAACATTGTTATAAATATTTCAAATAAATAAATATTTATTTTTTAAACACGTGGCGACCCACCTAAATATAGTTCTTAAATAAACCCATTTCCATTGATAACCATCGGTTAGTAATTCATTTAACTTATTAATTAATTTTAGTTTAGTCCTTTAAACTGGGGCAACCCTTAAACACATCAAAAATGTTCTAAATTGTCAAACTAAGTTGGGGTATTCACAACGGTGTCGTAAGTGTCGTATTGTCGTCAACTTTAAACGCCTAAAAAATATATTAAGGGGGTTCGCAAAGTACCATAAAAATCATATTTTGAATTCTCGCAGTATTAAAAATTAGTTGGTTGTGGTTTCAAGTTCTCTAAACATTTATTTATGCTTTTAAAGTTTACGACATAAGTACAACAATACGACACTTACGACACCGTCGTGAATCCCCCAATAATTTTTTGAAGCTCTTTCATTTGACATCCATCGTTAATATTTCATATAACTTGGGTATAAAATAGTTCAATTAGACTTCTCAAATATGTAGGTGGCAACCCTATTCAAAATATTTCCAAACTACTATTTTCTTAAACTTCTTTTGTATGACACCCATATAGCGATACCTTACTCACTTACCAAATTCCTTTAATTAAAATTGAATTACATTTTTTTTAAGATGTGGCAACGCTCCTATACGTAGTTATGTTATAAAGCCTTTTCGAATTATTTAAATGTGCTTTAAATTTGTTTCTTTGTCTAGTATTCGCATTTACTTTAAAATAGTTATGTTTTATTTCCAGTTTTTTTTGTTGATATTCAATTGCAATCTTTTCATCATAATTACGACATGTACATATTCCTTAATTAGTGTAATTTTTGTATAGGTATTTTCTTCACTTGATCAGTGTTTCGAATTTCGAATTATACCAATTCGATAACAGATTAACATGACGAGCGTGGGCACCAAGTGAGAGTAAGGCTCGAATACAATCGGCGAGGTCGTTTTGGTAACCTTTCAGATTGCCACCATTTTTAGCCCGATCTGAATGCACATGCTCATTGGTGCCCGCTAAATTTTTTTATATCTGAATTTAAATAAATGCAATGTAGTTACTTTTTCGAGTCCTTATTAAGTGTAATTGTTAAATGGTCTGTAAAAACCTACTTCTGTAGACTGAATTAATTGATAAATATGTAAATAATTGTTGGTGGTAGCAAGAGGAGGGTGAATTTATAGAAGAGTCAAAGTATTCAGGGTATATATCTAATTTAAAAATTGAAATAATTTGGAAATTTTGCGAGAAAATGCAATTTGCTACATCTATTTAATTAAATTTTAATGAGTTTCTTTCCATGTAAATATGTATATATTTATAACCACTTGGCGATACGATCTCTATCGATTCAAATTAAAAAAGAAGAAAGGCTTATCTCATAAAAGTGATGTTAGGCTCAGACCAACATACTTATAATTTACTTACTGAAATAAAATGATGCTCATCATTTAGCTCTAAAAATTGACTAGAGCCTAATTTCGCTTTGATTCTTGGGGTCATCAGGCCAATAAATTTGAATCAAGTGTCTCGAGAGCGTATCGAAGTTTTTTGCACCGTTCAGTGTTGGTAACATTTAACAACTAATTAGTTATTCAACTATTACAGATTTAAGGATTTTACATTTTTTTATTATCTTTAAATGTTGATTAAATTTTTCATTCTTTATTGCATTTTAGGCTGATTTTCGCCGCTGCAATAGCTGGAGCATTAATGAGCGCAGATGCGGTATGGCAAAATTATAGTTTTTTTTTTTTTAATTCTAAGAAACTCTGCTCATTTTTCGATTTTATTTTATCTAGCAATTTTGGAAAAATACAGATACTGGTGCGATCTACAACCCACCCAATCATTACAGAGATGAATCAACACCTCCGCGTTCCCCAATAGACGATAGTTATGCGATTATCGATACTGTAACCTCAAATCGTCAAGGACCGCCAAGAAATTGTACATCCGGCACAGTTGGATGCATTCCAAAATGTTTCGCGGAAAAGGGTAACCGTGGTTTTCCCGGTGAAGCTGGACCCCCCGGACCGACGGGCTTGCCTGGTTATCCAGGTCCTGAAGGTCCACCCGGCGATAAGGGCCAAAAAGGCGATCCAGGTCCGCTAGGTCCTCGCGGTTATAAGGGCGAACGAGGTGTTCCCGGTATTCCTGGTATGCCTGGAGTACCTGGCGTACAAGGTATTTCCGGAAATCCCGGTACTACTGGTGCGCCTGGAAAAGATGGTTGCGATGGCCAAGACGGTATACCCGGTCTACAAGGTTTGAGTGGTATGGCTGGTCCGCGCGGCTATCCAGGCCAGCCTGGCGTTAAGGGTGAGAAAGGTGAACCGGCAAAGGAAAATGGAGATTATGCTAAAGGTGAAAAGGGCGAACCCGGTTTTGCTGGGCGTTCTGGCAATCCAGGCCCTGAAGGTCAACAGGGTCCTAAGGGCGATCGAGGTGATACTGGGCCGTATGGTCCATCGGGTCCTCGTGGTGATCGTGGTTTGAAAGGTGAAAAGGGTGCACCATGCTTTGCTCCACCGCAACCTGGCAAAAAAGGTGAAAAGGGCGAGAAAGGAGAACCTGCATCCGTGAAACACTCAACTACCGAGCAAACCATAATGGGAGAAAAAGGTGAAAGAGGCGAAAAAGGTGATTCAGGTACACCTGGACCCAAAGGTGATCCTGGTTATACTGGAGAAACAGGACGAGATGGTATGAAGGGTGAAAAAGGCTTGCCGGGCGGTCCTGGCGATAGAGTACGCTATTTCTAAATACCAATTTTAAAAATTTTATTTAAGATTTATTAATAATTTAGGGACGTCAAGGTAATTTCGGACCCCCTGGACCAGCCGGTCAGAAGGGTGACCGCGGCGAGACTGGCTTAAATGGATTGTCTGGTAAACCGGGTCAAAAGGGTGAACCAGGTCTTCCAGGTAGGCCCGGAGAACGTGGTTTGCTAGGTCCTCCAGGTCCACCTGGGGGCGGTCGAGGCTCTCCCGGCGCACCTGGCCCCAAAGGCCCACGTGGATACACTGGTTCGCCTGGTCCAAAAGGATTGGATGGTGTTGATGGTCCTCCTGGTCTACAGGGTTTCCCCGGCCCTAAGGGTGGCCCAGGTTTACCTGGCCGTCCTGGTGTTGAAGGCCCACCTGGTGATAAAGGAGAGAAAGGTAATGCAGGTCGCACAGGTCCACCCGGCCCCGTTGGTCCCATGGGTCATACTGGACCACCAGGACCTGAAGGACAGAAAGGTGAACCCGGATATCCAGGCATTGGGGAAGTTGGCCCTAAGGGTGACGATGGTACTCCCGGGTAAGTGTGAGAAAGTATTAAATAAAACAATAAAATTGTATATTTAAAACTCTCTTTCAAACAGTATTCCTGGTCTGAAGGGTCAAAAAGGTGAACGGGGTTTCAAAGGTAATGCTGGCGCTCCTGGTGATTCTAAATTTGGACGTCCTGGTTCACCTGGTCGTGCAGGCCTGCCTGGCCAAAAGGGAGATCAAGGCCGTCCTGGTTTTCCCGGCCAGAAAGGTGACATGGGTCTCAAAGGTGATGCTGGTGGTAAATGCTCGTCCTGCCCTCCTGGTTTCAAGGGCGATAAAGGTGATCGCGGTTTGGATGGTATTCCTGGCCAACCTGGCTTACGTGGTCCCCCCGGAGCTCTTGGTGCACCTGGCGAACGTGGCGCTGATGGAATCGCTGGTATGGATGGACCACCCGGTGAAAAGGGTGAAGATGGCAGGGACGGACTTCCTGGAGCTGAAGGTCCCGCTGGTAAAGATGCAATTGTCGACTTAAGTCTTGTCAGGGGAGAGAAAGGTGAAAAAGGTGATAGAGGTTATCCTGGTGCACCCGGCTTAAAAGGTGACCGTGGTGAAGCCGGATTTCCTGGTATCAGCGGCGTTAAAGGAGAAATAGGTGCTAAAGGTGACAAAGGTTTCCCAGGTCCACCAGGTGTGGACGGCATACCTGGAAACCCAGGACGCGATGGACGTGATGGTCTCCCCGGCTTAAGCATCAAGGGTGAACCTGGTCGCCCAGGTCGCGATGGAATTAAGGGAGACAAAGGTACCTCTGGATATTCTGGACAAAAGGGAGATCCAGGAACTTGTGACGCCGCCATGTTGACAGTGCCAGCTAAAGGAAACAAAGGTGATCGAGGCATACCTGGAATGCCAGGTCCAATGGGCCCCATGGGTGACAAAGGTGACCAAGGATTTCAAGGACTGAAAGGTGAAATGGGTCCACAAGGTCCGGTGGGACCTGTAGGACCACGAGGTTTAACTGGTCCGCGTGGTGAGAGGGGTAGTCCTGGTGTTATGGGAGCCCCTGGAAACCCTGGAAAAGATGGACTTAGAGGACCCCCTGGAAGGAATGGGGAACGCGGCCAAAAGGGAGAACAAGGCATCTCAGTTGCTGGTCCCCCTGGACCACAAGGCCGCGATGGCTTATCTGGTCTTAAAGGAGATCGAGGAGCTCCTGGTGCTTATGGTCCACCTGGTCCAGATGGAGCTGTTGGATATCCTGGTGACAAAGGTGATGCCGGTCTGCCTGGCGCAACTGGTTTGACTGGAGCCGTCGGCCCTAAAGGTGATACTGGCCCACTGGGACCACCAGGACCTCAAGGTCCACCTGGGAAACCTGGTGTGGATGGTGTGCAGGGACGTGATGGAGCAAAGGGCGAACCTGGAAACCCAGGGTGGGTTGGCATGCCCGGATCTAAAGGCGACCGTGGTGCTCCTGGCAATGATGGACCTAAAGGTTTCCCTGGCGCTAATGGACCCCCTGGAAAGCGTGGCGCTCCTGGTCCTGCCGGTATTCCTGGTAAGAAAATAGTTTAGATACATATAGTTGAATCATAATTGCAATGCGAAATACTGCCCTTCCTTCCCAGGTACGAAGGGAGACAAAGGTGAAATTGGTTTGACTGGTAATGACGGTTTAACTGGCCCAAGAGGACCTCCCGGCGCTCCTGGCCCAATGGGCATTAAAGGTGATATTGGGCCACAAGGCCTTCCTGGAACTGACGGTCGTCCTGGCTTGGATGGAGAAAAGGGTGCTCAAGGTTTACCCGGTTTCGATGGTGCACAAGGTTTACCGGGTGACGCAGCTGAAAAGGGACAAAAAGGTGAACCTGGCTTATCTGGATTGCGTGGTCCTGAAGGTCTTCCTGGTGCACCTGGATTGCCTGGCGAAAAAGGTTTTCCGGGTATGTCTATTCACGGCAGCCCTGGTGCGAAGGGTGACAAGGGTGATCGAGGACGTGATGGCATTGATGGTCGCGATGGCATATCTGGAGCAAAGGGAGAAGCGGGATTCCCTGGCATGAATGGACAAAAAGGTGATAAAGGTGACATGGGCTTACCTGGTGCACCAGGAGCTCCTGGCTTAGATGGAAGGCCTGGAGAAACAGGCACGCCTGGCCCTGTTGGCTATTCTGGCGCTAAGGGAGACAAGGGAGATCACGGTTATCCAGGTCTGCAGGGTGTAAAAGGTGACAAGGGTGCTACCGGCTTTCCCGGTTTATCTGGGCCTCTGGGACCGAAGGGCGAACGCGGTTTTCCTGGTCAAAGCGGTCGTGATGCTCAACCTATCACCATTAAAGGAGACAAAGGAGAAATGGGTGAATTTGGTGTGGTTGGTTTGCCTGGTCCAATTGGACTTAAAGGTAATCAAGGTTTGCCCGGATTGAGCGGACAAAAGGGCGAACGTGGTCTGCCTGGTCCACTGGGCATACCTGGCTTAAATGGCGCACCTGGTTTAAAGGGCGATCAAGGCCCTGTTGGCGAGCCCGGAGCACCTGGACCTGCAATTAAAGGAGAAAAAGGTTTACCTGGAAGATCTGGAAAGAACGGACGTGAAGGTAAATTATCTCGCATTACATTAAAGCCAACCACCAGATACTACATATTTATTTCTACGATCTTTAGGTGCTCCTGGTTCTATTGGACAAAAAGGCGAAAAAGGACTTCCTGGTCTCGCTGGCATGCCTGGTTTGGTTGGTCTGCCTGGTCCCGTTGGCCCATCTGGTCCAAAAGGTGAACGTGGTCAAATGGGACTTCCCGGACGTGATGGTGCTGATGGTTTACCTGGTGCGCCTGGCTTGAAGGGTGATATGGGTTTCCCAGGTCCTAAAGGAGAACGAGGTTTGGCTGGTTTCGAAGGACAAAAGGGTGAAAAAGGAGAACAAGGTATACGTGGTCCACAAGGTTTACCGGGTCTCAATGGTATGAAAGGCGATCGCGGTTTCCCAGGTTTAGATGGAGCACCTGGACCAGTTGGAGCGCCTGGTGAAAAGGGATCAACTGGACCTAAAGGTCGCGATGGCCGAGACGGCGTACCTGGATTATCTGGCCAAAAAGGTGAACCTGGTCTAGTACCCCCACCAGGACCTAAAGGTGAACCTGGACACCCAGGTCGCGACGGCGAGAAAGGAGATCGTGGTCCACCAGGCCCCCGTGGTTTGATTGGCTTACAAGGTGAACGTGGCGAGAAAGGTGACATGGGTTTGACTGGTCTCATTGGTCAAATAGGACGGCCCGGACCTAAAGGTGAACAAGGTTTCCCAGGCCCACAAGGCCGTGACGGTTCGCCGGGTCTGCCCGGCCCACAAGGAGACACGGGTGCCGCTTGCACAGCAGCACAAGATTATCTGACTGGCATATTGCTGGTTAAGCACAGTCAATCTGAAGAAATACCACGTTGCCCGCTAGGTCAAATCGAATTATGGACAGGTTTCTCAATGTTATACGTGGACGGTAACGATTATGCGCACAACCAAGATCTCGGATCGGCCGGCTCTTGCGTGCGTCGCTTCTCAACACTGCCAGTGATGTCATGTGGCCAGAACAACGTTTGCAACTACGCCTCGAGAAACGATAAGACCTTCTGGCTTTCAACATCCGCTCCCATTCCAATGATGCCTATCAACAACCAGGAAATTAGCAAATATATATCGCGCTGTGTGGTGTGCGAGGCACCAGCGAATGTCATCGCTGTACACAGCCAGTCGCTAACCATTCCCGACTGCCCCTATGGATGGGAGAGCCTATGGATAGGCTACAGCTTCGTTATGGTAATTCATTTCATTTGTGAATCTTTTGTAGTCTGAATGGCTCAATTTCTTTANCCTATGGATAGGCTACAGCTTCGTTATGGTAATTCATTTCATTTGTGAATATATAGTCTGAATGGCTCAATTTCTTTATTTACTCTATACTTCTAGCATACTGCCGTTGGTAATGGCGGTGGTGGCCAAGCGCTAGCATCGCCCGGTTCTTGCTTGGAAGATTTCCGCGCCACACCATTCATCGAATGCAATGGCGGCAAGGGTCACTGCCACTTCTACGAAACAATGACCAGCTTCTGGTTGGTCACAGTCGAGAACCATGAACAGTTCCAACGACCAGCAATGCAAACGCTCAAGGCTGGAAATCTGCTACAAAGAGTATCGAGGTGTACAGTGTGTATAAAAAATTCGACATAAGTAAGCTGCAGTCTTATATAAACATTTTTGCCCCCCCATCCTTGTATNCTGGTTGGTCACAGTCGAGAACCATGAACAGTTCCAACGTCCAGCAATGCAAACGCTCAAGGCTGGAAATCTGCTACAAAGAGTATCGAGGTGTACAGTGTGTATAAAAAATTCGACATAAGTAAGCTGCAGTCTTATATAAACATTTCCCCCATCCTCCAAATTTGTATGCCGCCATTTTAAGCCTAAAGATAATTTTATTGAATAACTTTATTAAACTTTACATTCGAGAAAGCCTGAAACCCTGAAAAATTGTTACAGGTAACAATTTGCTATGATTTCCTTATAATTGCCTTAAAATGAAATTTACGCTCACATTGTAGTTTCTAATGATTATATTATATACATATATATGTAATCGAAAAGTACTTGCCCAAGTGTTAATGTTAATGTTTACGAATACTTATATAAACCAAAATGAAACAAAAATTCTGCCATTATACTATGAAGTTGCAACTGCAAATGTCTAAAGCTTCTTGTTTTTTAATTGTAATATTAGCATGTAAATTATAAGCGAAACAAAAACTAAATAATAAAACATAACTAAATAAATATGTAAATGTGTAGTAGCCATCTAATTAACTGTATATTTGTATGAAGAGAAAAATAATAAAACGAAACACAAATACCGAATATTTATGTACAGCAATTGAATGCAATCCATAGGCACAATCTACATACATCCATAATTTTTTTTTTTACACTAAACTGCTAAATAAAGCGAAAAACTTAAAAATTTTATTTAAAATCAATCGAATCATTTAAAACAGAAAAATACGAGTAGTATATACTTATGTATATTCATTGGTTTTTTAAGTCAAACAGGGGAAGAAAATAATTGCTAAAATTTTAAAATCCAAAACTTATCAACACAATTTCTATGGGTGTAAGAAAAATTATTATTCTACGTTTTGGATGGACTAAAAGAAACGTGGTTTCTTAAAAAGTTTTTTAAATATTTAATTCTTTTGAAACTATACACAGTATATTATACACATATATTGTATTATCTATTGAAGTTATTATTGAGGTGCCCTTTTACTAATCGAAATACATTTTGTATGCATTAGTGTATTTTTTGAAAACATTTTTTTTCTTTTTAAAAAACTTTATTGTAAAAAAATTTAAAATCTTAAAAAAACGGCTCTCACTTTTGACAAGGAATTTCGTCATCTTTAATTTAAAGAAATAAAATTGTAAATTGGATCAAAATTTAGACCTCTAGACTGATTTGTCCACGACCCCCTTCATTTGCCCCACTGGAGTTTTTCCCGGTGTAAATATTGTGAGCCAAAATTTTCTTGCATCTTTGTCGCTCTTTACATATGATTCTTTATTCATGTCATTTTCAAAAAGATTTTTTTTTTAAATTTACGCAGTTATGTATAAACTCCCCATATCTTTACGCACGTGATTTTCAAAGAAACGGAGAAATAGTAAATGATACACACACTTAAAGGAGGCACAATTCAGACCCTCTCCCGGAGAGAAGTATATCTAAGAGTAAGTCTGGATACAAACCTATCGTGGAAATCGCACGCGGAACGCAAGAACTTCAAAGCGTTGATAGCATTTTGGCAAAACGTGGGGTCTGTCACCAAAGGAAATCCGCTTTGATCAGACCCATAATCAGCTATGCGTCAGTGGTATGGTGGAGCAGGCTCTCAATCAATAACGTTGGAAGTCTGCTTGCTTCAAAGAACTATTGCCCTGTGCTGCACGGGAGCTTTCTCTACAAAACCTAGCGCGCTGCTCTTGATGCCGTTTCACCAATGTATTTAGCTGAAAATTTTCTCTGTTTACTTATAAAAAAATTGTCTAGATTATTTGTATTTTTTTTTAGAACATTTTGTAAATAGAATCCGAATTAGAAAGACATTCGGTTCGATTAAATCAAGAAGGGCAAACTTAAAATTGATATCTTGCTCATGATTAGAAATTTTGCCTAAGCATTGAGAACACTGGCCAAAATGAAAGTTTTTTGAGCAGGGTTAGCCATTTCTAATAGAATTTCGTAGCAATTCTCGGATTCAGTGATCGCATTTTCGTAGATTTCACGAAAAATCGAACTACGATGGATTCTGTGATAGCCACCAATATAGAAAATGCCGACTGCTGCATTGCTAGTCAAATAAACTCTGTTTCTATTCATTGCACACAATGGCTTAAGCTAAAGTAAATTCCGACTACACCACACCCGAAAATTGATTTTCTGATACGATTTTTCCAGCCACATACTCCGATTGAAGCCAATCAGCCCCAGAAGTTCGGAACGGTCAACTAAACCATTAATTACATCGTAAACAAACATTAGAGACTGGATTATTCTTCTGCTCTTAAGTGATTTGAAGCTTATTAATATATAGCGAGCACTATATAAGGGCAGCGCAGAGTTGGGCAAAATTTATTCGAATGACGAATAACAAATGAATAAAT